TTTGTAAACTTTTTATTATGGAGATTTTCAACACAACACACTTTTCTGTAATTACAACTTTTGCTGTAGATTTTTACAGCTGGAAAACGGAAACGGAACAGAACGATATTACCTAACATGTGAAGCACACAAAACAAAAGATGAAAGCACCATCCTGTATTTTAATTGCCATCGGTCTTACACACATCAAATATTAGAAAAAATTTCAAGGGGTACCAAAAAAATTGGACATGCTTGTCCCTCACGAATCATATGCAAGATATATAATGACGGACATGTTAAATCTGATTACTGGAAGACACATGTGGGACATGAAAATTTGACAAAATATGTGCGAATGAACCAAAATTTGATAAATAACATCAAAGGTATAGTTAAAGATTATTTAGTATCATGTATGAAATTTTTGTTAATTCTTTATTTTAAATTAAATCTTTATTATAAATTTTATTAAATCTATTTAAATTTATTAAATAAAATAAAAAGTTAAATCTTTGTTTATAATTTTTTCAGAACAAATTAAGGCTGGCGTAAATGGTGACTTCATTATAAACAACATACGTGAAGCTTGTTATAATAAAGAATTACCACTGAGAGCTTCCATGATTACAAAGAAAGATATTTGGAATATGCAAAGGAAAGTTGTACCACCTTACGATACGTTTAGAGTCAGTCTCGACAATGCAGCGGGAGAGTTAACATGTATATTTAATCACCGTTGTATTTCTAATAGTTTAAAAATCCTGAGATATAGATACTGTACAAAACGCAGTGTTTTATTCAGTAATATTAAAATTTGGAATGGTTATGTAGCGACCTGTCAACACGCATCGCATCTCAACTGGACAGATAGGCTCATCATAATGACAGCACGGAGGAAACAAAGTAGTGCAAGTGTCAGTTCGGATCTCTCTATTGTTTCTCCCGAGTCTCATTGCCAAAATTATAATTCTCAAAACTTTTCCTTTTCATTTTAAGGGGGTTGTTCTTTTTTTATTTTTCTTTGTTTCGGTTTTGAGATTTTTTGATATTATGAAAGCTAAAAACCTTAAAATTATTTTTAAAAAAAATCATCTCAATATCTATTTTTTTGACGAAGTTATAGATATATATATCTCAATACGTATGATCTTCTGAAAGCGTTTTTTTATCGTTCCGCGAGCTATTGAGCTGCCTCTTTTTCATTAAAATACTTCATGCACATGACCTTTTTAATGTGGCAGCATCTTTGAACACGATGGTGTATTTCGTACATTAAATTAAATGGTGTATTTAGTACATTATACTAAAAACTTTAAATACGTTTTCTCAAATTGACTTTTTTCAATGCGGTGCCACAAATTAAAAAAAAACTACAAGTCGGATCGATTTGCATTTTTTTTTTAATTTGTTCACCACTGCAATACCTAGTCCCCCTACCTCAAACAACTTGATAACATTACGCAACAAAATTATGCGAACCTTCTCGTCCCAAAAAAAGGCCTTTTTTGAAACTTTTTTTTAAAATAGCTGCCATTTTTTCCCTCTTGCTTTTTTTCTTTCATTTCGGTAGGGGGACTGGATTCAAACTTCTTCTTCAACGTAGTTTCGTTTTTTTTTTGTTTCAGGCGATGCGCAACGGATTTATCTGTGGCACCGCAAACGAGATCGATTTTGCAATGCCCACTTTGGCGCCCCCTGGATAAAAAATGACGGCGAAAAAAAATAAATAAAAATTTTCTTAATATTCTATGATTTTGTACTTTTTGTTTAAAAAAAACCGCATGTCTTTATGATAAATACATTTCGAGAAAAACAAAAACAAATACCTTGCATGTTTTGTAACAAAAAAAAGAACAACCCCCTTAAATAAACTAATACTAACTATGTGGGAGATTGGCAGGTCGCGTCAATTTTAGTAAGCGAGGAAAAAAAATAATAATTGACGTTGAGTTTTGTTGGATCATTTTTTTTTTGACAATGTAAAATTTTGTTCAGATAAATTTACAAAATTTATCACCGTATTAAAGAAAAAATATTTTATATTCGGTAATTTATTTGATTTCCGATAGTGGTGACCCCGACGTGATCAATGTGGTAGTTGTAATGATTATGAAAGTATAAACTCCCATCGTATAAAAATATTTAAATTTTATTCATTATAAAATATTACTGATTTCAAAATATATAATATGACAAGTCCAATTGTTTTTTCTACAAATCACAAGCCTGCTTGATTTCCCCACAACTACATTTTATAAATGATCAATATGATTACACATAGTGTTGTCAATACTAATCATACATAAAATAAACCAAATATAAAACATAATATATCGTGGAATTTATTATGTCTACAATTTGGAACATTGTCCTCTACAGTTATCGTCAGATACCGATTATTTTTATTACAGTCTGCTTCAAGATTTATTTCTGATGTTAGCCAGCCAAACCAAATATATATAATATATAAATAATATATAAACGCTCAAATAACAAAAATTACCAGTGGAAGATTTTTTGTTTAACATGCTCGTTGAACATAAAGACAAATTAACTACGAAGTGGGACCGAAATATGGCGAAAATAATCGAACGAAAGATTACTCATCGCTTTAGCGGCATAAGTTATAGTGCCTGTGTTTATTGTTCACTCTTCATTGCTGTCAAGATTTCGCTCAGGATATTTTTATATATATTTTATATATAATTATAAAAATGCAAAGAACGATAAACGATTAGTGTTGTGGATGGAATCGAGTACTTCGGACATTATGCCTTTAAAGTGTATAAGCCCAAAAGATAGGTATGTGCCATAGCAGAATTGTCATGGAAGAGAACTGAGAATTATAAAGGCGGCGAAGGAAAAGTGTTGGCTATCAGCGGTATGTATCCTCTTTTCTTCTCTGATAAAATGTAATTTAATTATTTTTTAATAGAAATATTGAATTTTAGAAGATACTGAGCATTTAAATTCGCTGACCGCAACGGTGAACGGTCGTTTGGATGTTCCTCCAAGCAAAGTTTTTGTTGAGAAAGTCATTCAACAAAATTATTAAATGCGGGAGAATAAGAAGGAACTACAGTTGGCGAGTATTATTAATAAAAAAAAATATGGACGCAAGCTTGCGAGCTGAGCCAACAATTTTTGATAATGCGTTTGACGAGGAGATAATTTGGTATGTGGAAGAAAATCCATCTGAAGTTACAGTTGAGTCTCCAGTGGATTTTCAGCAGGCGGATGAGTCTCAGGTTTTGGAGCAAGCAGATGCGTCTCAGTGCAGTGACTCAGAAATAGTGACTACTCGAGAATTCTCCGAGGAGCACATTAAGTCCTTAACAATTGCATATCCAGTAAAAGGTATAATATAATATTATAATAATAATGTTCTCTAATGGAGAGTTACTCTAAGGTGCTTATACATATTCATATTCGATTAGTTACCAAGGAAGCCTTGAAAAATCATGAGCTATGAGGAGCCGTATTGAAATATGCATTTATTTTAGGGTAATTAATAACATTATTATATTACTTGTCATCTTACAGAGTGGATTCCAATATCTAGATAAATTAGATATTATTTTTAGAAAATTAAATAATTTAAATGTGATGATTAATATTTGATAGCTATCGATTCAAAAGATTTCAAGAGTATCTAAACTATTGGTTCACATAATAAACATAATAAATACTCATCTCTTTTATATGTACAAGCAAATCATCTTTTTTTTCTATTAATATAGGTTCTCGAACACTTTTATGCACGTGGTGATAACATGGTAAATAAATAAATGAACTTAATTTGAAATAATATCTTTTGAAAGATATCACAATACCCGAGAAAACGTATTGGCAATGTTGTTCCAATAAGATATTAAAAAATAAATAAAAATTGAAACATGTTTTATTATTGGTATGTTTATATATGTGTGTGTGTGTTTATATATATATATATATATATATATATATATACAAGAATATTTCAGGATAGAAAGCAACCTTACTAAATACCTAACCTAAAATTACACCTCGATATTTTGACGTATACCTTTTTAAACGCTTGAAGTTCTTCAAGTCTAAACCTTTATACGTATACCTTTTTACGAACTTTAGGTTACTAAATCTGCTTTAATCATGTCCTAAAACCCTTGCACTTTTTTCTGGCGAAGGATTATGATTCAATGTTGTAGTCGATCGCTATGTAGGTAACATTAACAATATCACCGCCGCGTCTTTATTTGCGTAAATCGTTCAAAATAATTTGTTTGTTAAAATTCATTAGTGTTAAATCAGTTATTGTGAAAATGTGAAGTGACAGTGATGATAATTATAAACTTTCAATGAGTTTTTACGTGCCCTTATGGACATTGAAGAATGTTATGGAATCAAAGTGAGTAAGCAGATTGTGCAGACCGCTCTTAGTGTTAGTAGTAGTGTTGCGAATGTTATTTAAAAAAAATGTTTAAGATTTTAATTGGACAAGAATAAAAATGATATAAGCGAATTGACGTTACATCATTTCTGCAAGTCAAAAAGCACATGCAATCAAGATACGAAAAAAAAAATTAATAATAAAAGGCTATAGAAGAGTACAAAAAATTGTCGAAGACTCAGTCTCAAGGACTGGGCTTGTAGTATCACTCAACCATGGCTATGCTGTACTCCAGATAAATTTGTCAACGACGGATTTTTTGTGAAGAAGTAATTGGAAGTAAAATGTCCAATATCGTGCAATAATAAGCCCATTGTAAGTGAGAATGGTACAGTTGGAGTATCTTACCTCGAAAACTCTGAAACAGACTCGAACGCTGATGAAAGCGAAGAAAATATTTCGATTGTGAGTAGACGACGAAAAAGAACTGCAGGGTCCGGCACTCAAAGTGTAACCAACTTCGAACCGCTCGCGTAGCTGATGCACGGGTACCAACTGTCAGTAAGTTAGCTAAATTATAGTTTGGTGTATTGTTTATAAGCGCACAAAAGTATTTTATCGACAGTGAATGCGAAAAAAGAAATTAGTAATGGATTTCAAACTTAACAGTGTGATTACATTACATTTAGCTGGAAAATCACAACCAGCGATTGTTCGAGGGCTCAAACACTTTAAAGTGAATAAAGTTTTCGTTTATCGCACCATAACTGGTTACAATGAAACTGGTAGCATCGCAAAACGTCATGGAGGTGGTCACCAAAAGCCTGCAACGTCACATGAGATGGTCAAACAAGTGAGAAAGCGACTCGAGCGAAATCCCCGACGAAGTGCCAATCAAATGGCAAATAAACTCAACATATCTGACCGTAGCATCCGCCGAATACTGAAAAATGATCTCAAGGTCAAGCCTTATAAGATCCAAAAGGCACATGATCTTACGCCGAAGCAGCAGCAAGTGAGACTTCAGAGAGCTAAGGAGTTGCTTCGCCGGGCCGAAAGTGGTAAATTTCCGAACATTGTGTTTTCCGACGAGAAAATTTTCTCAATTGCGCAATTCGTAAACTCTCAAAACGATAGGGTTTACTTGACTGAACGTTCAGACAAGAATATGAGCCATCGATTGGCCACCAGGAGGCAACACCCGCCACAGATAATGGTTTGGGCCGCTGTAACCGCAGATGGGCGATCTCCAATCGTTTTCATCGTGTCTGGCGTCAAGGAAAATGCGCAATATTATCGGTAAAGTATTCTGAAGGTTGCTTTGAAGCCATGGGCAGATAAACATTTTATGTGGCAAACAATGGACGTTTCAACAGGACTCGGCACGGTATCATAAAGCTCAGTGAACCAAGAATGGCTGAAAAACAACGTTCCGAACTTCAAAACGTCCGCAAAATGGCTCTCGAATTCACCAGACGCGAATCGTATGGATTATTCTCTTTGGGCCATTTCGGAGAGCAAGGTCCGAACTAAGGGGTACATCAGGCTCGAGACTTTAAAAAAAGCCGTTATCCGCCAGTGGGCCAAAATACCTGCAAGTCACGTTCGGCCAAATGCGATTTGTTTTTACACCGTCTAAAGGCCATGGTCAAAGCAAAAGGTGGTCATGTCGAGCAAAAGTGAATGTTCTTAAATTTTGTATTATTTTTACACATTTTGTACTTTGAATCGAGTAAAATTGATTTTCCAAACTGAATTTATGGGTCTTTCAATTAGTTACACTTCGAGTGCCGGATCCTGTAGACGTGTAGATACCCCTAATAATGCCTCCCTCATAATATTCAAGATGAAAGAGCAATTGCGATGGATGGAACTGTTTGGTAGGAAGTACATATTGGATCTAATCCTGAAAGAGCAAGTGTTCACAATATTTTTAGGGAAACGTCAGTCCCGACGGGGTACAGTAAACACAATATTTTGAAAGGTGAAGTTAGGACGGCATTTTCATTGATAATTGATAATAGTTCAATCGGGCTTATAAAAAAGTGCACGAAGGCAGAGGCGTAAATGGAAACTATCTACGGAAAAATTACTTGCGTATTTTGCAATTCTATATGCACGCGGAGCATATGAAGCAAAAAATATAGACATAGCACTTTTGTGGAATAAAAAGTGGGTCCGCCTTTTTTTACTAATACTATGAGTAGACGCGATTTTATAGAGATGAAATATATTGACGACAAAAATCAACGGAGCCAACGGTTACAAACTGATAAATTTGCGATGATATCCGATGTTTGGTACAAGTTTATTGTCAACAGTCAAAATTGTTACAAACCCGGTCCATATATTACTATAGACGAGCAATTGTTTCCAACAAAAGATGTAATGCAAGATGTAGATTCACTGAATTTATGCCTAATAAACCAGACAAATTCGGTATAAAATTTTGGTTAGCTTCCGACGTAAATAGTAAACATATAGTAAACGGCTTCCCATATTTGGGCAAAGATGAAAGTAGAGCACCCTCAGTTACTCTTTAAACTTTTCACCACTGATAACTTTTTCGCAAGCTTATCTTTAGTAAAAAAAACTTTTAGTTAAGAAAACTACGATCGTTGGGCAATTCGGGCAAATAGAAAAGATCAACCGAGGCTGGCAAAATTGAAAAACGACGACATGGCACTATTCTCCACCAAACTGTTTTGCTCAGATAATATTATGCTGACAATTTATAAAGCCAAGCCACGAAAGAAAGTTATAATACTCAGCTCAATGCATAACTCCGTGCAAGTAAAACACAATGACAAACAAAAACCGGAAACAATACAATTATATAATCGGAACAAATACGGAGTAGATGAGTAGTAAAATCTAAATCTCCGAGATGGCCTTTGCAAGTTTTTTTTTAATATCTTGGATTTAGCCGGAATAAATGCATGGGTGTTATACTAAGAAACCACGGGAGAAAAAATTACAAGACAACAATTTCTGTTCCAGTTGGCAAAAGAACTGGCCCTGGAATATCAACAGCACAATAAAAAAAAAAGAAATTATACCCATCGCAATCACTAGTCAAAGTACAAGTAATCGCGAACGTAAAACATGTCAGATTAGGTTGTGTAAAAATAATAAGACGAACAAAATCTGTCTCAAATGTAAAGAGTTCGTATGCGGAAAATGCACAGTTGAGAAAACCATTTGCAAAAAATGTGATAAAAATTAATAAATTATAGATCATGTATTCTAGAATTGAATAAATGTTTTTTTATATCTTTATAATAACTATTAATTTACTTACTATATTACAACACATCAATTGTGGACGACCGGTCATTTGACAGGCCGCGGTAGGAATAGGATAAGTAAAAAGTCGGTAGGAATAGTGTTAAGCAATTTCCTTATATGAAGCTATCTTTGGATCAAAGATGAAATTGTATTTAAAAACATCTGATTTGCCTAAAGAATCCATTCAACAGGTCGAAACAGAAGAGGAATTGAAAACACAGATACAATAAGTACACATAGCGAGTTCTTTACCTAGCAGTGTCAGTGATACTTCAGATAAAGAAACTGAAGATGGTACCTCTTGTCATGAAATTAAATATGAGAATGATGAATTTTTGGAGTTAGATTGCATATTAAGCGGCAACAAAAAATTTACCGATGATGCTTGAAAAAAAGCTAAAAATATTTTAGAAAGCCAAAGCTATAAAAATATGCAATTTTTCCAAAGATAAAGGGAAATCGTGAGTTTTCTGAAAATAGTTTGTACTAAGTAGTGAATCTGCAAGAATCCATCAAGATGTCTATAATGAAGTGATTTCTAGATGGAATGTGAATTACTTTAATTCTGGTGGAAATAGCGCTCATTAAACAATATGATTTAAAAGAAAAAATCTTCGTAAATGCTTCTTATTTGCATGATAGCTCACTCATTTTACACGCAAAAACTTGTAACAGCACTCATTCTAAAGCTTATGTTGAGCACTATAAAACCCAATTGCACTAAAATGCATAAAATGTAACACTTCGCCACTAGATGGCTTTAAATACAACAATTAAATCTTAAACGAAATAAAAAACGACTCTGCTCTTTCAAATCTTGCTTAATATTTTTCCTAGAACACTTTATGTAATACCGATTTATTAAGATTTTTATTGAAATTATTTTGTTCATAACATGATTTTTGTTAAAATGTATATTTTAGGAGATATTTGCAAAAAAACGAAGAAAAACGCCAAAAATATATGAATCTTTAGTGGCCAGTAACTTGAAAAGTATTAGTTTTTTTGAAAAACTATAAAATACATTTTTTTCTTATAATTAGTTCTTCTATCGATTTCCGACGTTATTATGAAAAAATGTAATTACACAATTGAGAAGGGGTGTCATTCTCCCGGGGGGTGATGGCGCAACCCGAATTGTTTTCACTTTTCAACTTGAGGGTAAGATGAACCTAATTCCAAAACTTCATTCAATTCGGAGCACAGTAAAAAAATTCAGACCTAAAACGCTCCGTTTACTGCACTATAATAGCGCAAGGAAATGTCAATTTTCAGTATGAAGGAGAGTTTGATGAAATATATGGCAATAGCAACAATATGAATCCAATCTGCATACTGGAAACAAGTGATGTACATGAAATGGAAAACAATGCAGAAGCGCGGGATGATAGTGCATATGAATTTCGAAAACATATTGCAACTTCAAGAAGAAGGCAGCGCCGTAGAAGGCAAACAATATTAGAGAAAATAAGAGAAGACAGATTGAAGTTCCAGGAACGAATTATACAAATTGAAGAAGCAAAATTGGAAATTCTAAAACAAAAGTATGGAATGCTTTAAAATAAAATAATATTCAAAAATTTTCATTAAATATAATAAATAAATCATTATATAATATGAAGGCCTGATCTTAATTTATTAATTCATTGGTATTAAGGAAATATTTGTATTAATTATTTTAAACCAATAATTATTTCAGAGATTGTAGCCGAAACTATTTATAATGATATTCGAGTGTCGGAGGCTCAAGTGGGTGATTGCATCAGAGAATGGCTTCGTCATGCAAAGAGCAGGTACACTAGGAATAAAGAGAAGGACAGGAGACAGGTTTTTAAAGTTAGTTAGCTTTATTGAATTATTTAGTTAGGTTTTTATTGTATTATTTTGTTATGTTAGGTTTATTGTATACTTGTAATTGTAAGTTAAATTTTCAATTATATTAAATATATTATTGGTAATAAATAATATAAATAATAACATTAACCAAAACACAATTTAAAATATAAAGTGATTTATTTGCTGGATGTGGTCTCCTTGAAGTACAAAATGGAACAGGACGAACATAAACACAATAAGCCTAATCGCATAGTCATAGCATACTTCACTCTGTATTACAAAGATAAGACCCGCGCGAAATTTGAATACACAAATACTTTTGTCCATATTCCCGGGCGATGCAAAGCATCCAAAATTTTACATTATTAACATTAATTAGGAATATTACATTAACATTTATCAAAATTGTAACTTAACCTAAAATACATAACATAAATGAATAATTTGATCGTAATCTCAATTTGATACACATATTTTCGAAGAGTGGACTGTATAAAAATAATAATAGTAATCAATAATAATTCATTTTAAAGTATATATCATAATTGAGTAAAATCTATTCTAATATTCTAAAAATACATTATTTGACTTCAATTTATAAGATGGAATTTCACATATTTATTCTATCGGAAGAGGTACAATTTTAGTTAAATATTTTTATTCTAAATATTGATTTGACCATGTTTTCCAAAATTGATCATGCATGGTCGTAATCTGTTTATAAATTTTTAATTTATTTGCACACCAATTAGGATTGTATAGTTCTGGTACAGGAGTCATTATATCACCTATTAAAAAAAATGACTGGGGGATAAATATGACGCATCTGTGCTGTCATCTGACATACTTAATAAAGGACGTGAATTCAATACTGCCTCGACCTGTGCAAGTAATGTAACATATTCCTCGTAAGTTTAACAACCCAATCACTCTACGCAAATATGATTTCATTATTTTTATCGACCCTTCCCATAAACCGCCAAAGTGTGGAGCATATGTAGGTGTAAATTGCCAAATAAAAACTAATTGTGTAACGGCTGAACTTGAAGGTTTTAATTTAGAATATAAGTTCTGATCAGTTCCGAAGTCATCCATAATACTTCCGAAACTCTCTTGTTGTTGTACGCGTAAAATAATATTTTTTAAAGAATTATGAATTTCATTCATAGTTAAATATTT